CGCAAGGTCGTGAGTTCGGTTCCCGGTACCGGAGAAAAACCAAAAAAAAAAAAAAAAAAAAAAAGAAAAGCAACCAATTTATATGTGACTGCAGCACAGTGGCAGTGCAGGTCAATCAGTCAGAGAAAATAAGTTCACACAAGGCCTAGGGCAAATGGCTTATTCTTTGGAAAGTCATTCCCACTAGTACTCCCCAAACTGTCATGTGTACAGGAGTCACAGGAGCTTTTGCTAAAATGCAGAAGCTGACTCAGTGGGTCTGAGGTGGGCTCAAGTGTCTGTACTTTAGCAAACAGCCCATCCAGGGGCCACATACTGGATGGGAAGAATCTACAGGTCACCTTGGCTCCTACTTCTCCATAAATTCATCCAGTGCAATGGTAATCATTGCACTTACCATTTTAGAAATGCTAATCTAAATAAGATTTCAATTCTGATTGATTGCAATATATGTACTGCTATGCCATATACCTTGGAGATGAGAAAATATTTATGTTAAAGAATGACTTCATACATAGGAATCAATCTAATGAATGATGTGAAAGATCTCTACGTTGAAAACTACAATACTCTGAAAAAAGAGATTGAAGCAGATATCAGAAAATGGAAGGATATCACTTGCTCTTGGGTAGGAAGGACCCAATACAGTGAAAATGGCCTTACTCCTGAAACTGTTATACAGATTTAATACAATCCTGATCAAAACACCAATAGCATACCTCACAGAGTTAGAGAAAACAATCCTAAAATTCATTTACAAGCAGAAAAGACCTAGAATAGCAAAAGCAATTCTGAACAACAAAGGCAAGGCTGACACAATCCCTGACTTGAAATTACACTACAAAGCATCTGTGATAAAAACAGCATGATACTGGCAAAAAAAAAAAAAAAAAGACTTGAAGATCATAGCAACAGACTAGAAGATGCACAAATGACTCCAAATACACTCATCCACCTTATCTTTGACAAAGGGGCCAAGCACTTTCATTGGGAGAAAGATGGCCTCTTTAATAAATGGTGAGGGAAAAACTGGCTCTGCACAGGCTGATGATTAAAATGGGACCCATATATCTTTCACCACACAATAAACTAAATTCAAAATGTATCAAAGATATAAATATTAAAACAAAAACATTAAATCTGCTGGACAGTAAAATATGTAAAATTCTTAAGACATTGGTGAAGGGAAAGTCTTTATGAATAAAACCCCAATCGCACAGGAACTATCACAAAGAATCAACTGTGATCTCATGTTGTTAAAAAGCTTCTGCATAACAAAAAACCACCAACAAAGTGAAGAGACAACCCTCAGTATGGGGCAAAAATGTTTGCAATCTGTTCCTCAGACAAAGGATTACTATCTAGAATGTAACAGCTGTGGAACTCAGTCTGGAGATTCTTCAATAAACTAGGATTAGAGGTCCCATTCAACCCAGCTATTCCCCTCCTGGGTATTTTTCCAGAAGAACTAAAAACATCATACCACAGTGATACATGTGCACCCATGTTTATAGCAGCGCAATTTGTAAATAGCTAAATTTTGGAAACAACTGATGTCCATCAACTGAGGAATGGATAAAAAAGATGTGGTATTTTTATACAATGGAGTATTACTCAGCTATAAAGAAAGATAAACTAAAGTCTTTTATAGGTACATAGATGCAACTAGAGACCATACTCATTAGTGAAATAAATCAGATTCACATGTGTAAACATCGTATTTCCGCCCTACGATAAGAACCTGAAAGAGGGGCTGGGGATTTAGCTCAGTGGCAAAAGCGCCTGCCTGGCAAGCGCAAGGTCGTGAGTTCAGTTCCCGGTACCGGAGAAAAACCAAACAAAAAAAAGAAAAAAAAAAAAAGAACCTGAAAGAGTAAATAATATCTGAAAGGTACAATAGATATTGTGAAAGGGAAAATAGGAAGAAGCAACTGGGATGAAGGAGGGCAGAAGAAAAAGAAAGAAGAAAAGGGGAAAAATATGTCTATGTATACACAGGATAGCTAGGATAATTGTACTACTAACATCTCTTGGCTTATTGAAAGGAACAGTCAATGTGTAATTGCTTGATCAATGTTGCATGCCTATATCTGGTTATATGTGCAACCATTTTGAAGATGACATTATGTAATATAACAACCATTGTTAATATCCTATCACCATGTTTTGAAATTCTGTATCATTTTTATTGCTTTCTATGCTGTTTTATTTATGTATTTGTTTTTGTTATTTTGGTTTTTTAAAATGAAAAACAAAATTTATATGTATATATAAGGAGAGCTGGAATAGGTGTATTGCTGATGTCTGTGGTTTATTGAGAGGAACAGTCAATGTTTAAAATTTTCTTTTTTATTGACCAATTTTGCACGCTTGAATTTGGTAATCAGAATGACTAATCTGAAAACAACAATATGCAGTATAAAGAACCATTGTTGAACTCCTACCATCTTGTATGGTGAAGCTCTGCATCATTTCCAGTGTTTTATTTATTTTTATTTTATTTTTTTACTTGTTACTGTCTTTGATTGTTTGATCAAGCTTGCATTCTTATGTCTAGTAGACTGAGCAACTTTGTTGAAAATAACAGTATGTAATATAGCAACCATTGTAAATTCCTATCGTTTTGTTTTGAGGTCATTATCACTTTTATTGTTTTTGTGTTGTTTTGATTTTGTCTTCATTGGTGTTTTGTCAGTTTGTTAATTTTTAAAATAAAGAATGTATAAAGAACTCAAAAAAAAAAAAAAGACTTAGCAGATTCAAAGACCCAATCCAAACATGGGCATCTGAGATGAATAAACACTTCTCAGATAAAGAAATACAAATGGCACATATATGAAAAATGTTCAACATCACTGGTCATTTGAGAGATGCAAATTAAAACAACATTGAGATTCCATCTCACCCCAGAAAGAATGGCCATCATCAAGAAATCAACCAACAACAAATGCTGGAGGGACTGTGGGGAAAAAGGAACACTTCTCTACTGTTGATGGGAATGTAGACTGGTAAAACCACTGTGGAAATCAGTGTGGAGATTCCTCACAAAACTAGGATTGGAAGTCCCACTTAACCCAGCTATTCCCCTTCTGGGTATTTTCCCAGAAGAATTAAAGACATCATACCACAGCGATATATGTGCATCCATGTTTATAGCAGCACAATTTGTAATAAGTAGATCTTGGAAACAACCCAAATGCCCATCAACCAAGGAATGGATAAAAAAGATGTGGTCTTTTTATATAATGGAGTCCCACTCATCCATAAAGAAGAATAAACTAGAGACTTTTATAGGTAAATGGATGCAACTCAAAACCATACCCCTAAGTAAAACAAACCAGATGCACATGTGTAAACATTGTACTGTCTTCCTAGTGTGAGACCTGAAAGAGTAAATAAGATCCAAAATGTATACTAGATATTGTAAAATGGGAAGAAACTTCAAAAGGAAGGAGAAACTTGGATGGGTGAGTGGAGAAAAGAAGGAAGGAAAAGCAAAAAGAAATATATAGAGAGATATAAAAGATAATTAAGATAGTTATACTACTAATTTCTCTTAGTTCATTGAAAAGAAAGGTTTGTGCTAATTTTGTTTGGACAATTAAATGCTGATATCTTATAAAAAAAATAATTTCAGCCAGCACACAAATGAACACTATATGTTAATGAAAACAAAGAAATGAGCTATAAGCATAACTGATAAATTGGCCAATTATGGGTATTAAATGACAATTTATAAATAACTTTTAGGATAATAGGCTGTAACACAAGAATTCTTCAAGGTCTAGGGGAAGGAGAGAAGAAGAAGAGTGGGAAAATAGAGAAGTAGGAGAAGCGAGAAAGAGGTGAACTTTTAAAAAGTTATTGTAATAAAAAATCTTTGCACCGGAAGTATAATAGCTGCTCAATTAGAAATGGGTTATTGAGTCAAGGCTTGTAAACAAAGTTTCTGTATTTTTTCATACCTCCAGCCTTTCCTTATTTTCCTTCATGTGCAACTCTAGTCTTATCCCTATGCCCAGAGACTGCATCTCTACAGCAACAGAGGCTCTCAGATGGGAAAGAAAGGCAGCTTCGGGTTTGGTGGAGCTGGGGGAGTGGGAGAAAGAGGTGGGGCGCCCAACACCTCAGAGGAGGCAAAGGGTAGGCGGGAGGGTGAATGGGAGTAGAGCACCCCAAGGCTCCTATGAAAATGTCACGGTGACCCGTTAACTTGTACAGTGAATGTGCACTAGTAGTTATAATTTTAAATAAAAAGGAGGGCTGCACTCCTCTCCCCTCTCTAGCAGGTGAGTATTTCTGAGATATTTCTCAAGCCCTAAAAATTGTATCAAAACTAAAACAACCTTGAGGGGTAGAATAGATCACATAACTAATACTGAAATATAAAGAGCACTTTTTTCTCTTTTTCCTTTTTTATTTTGTAGTATTGGGGATTGAACCCACAGGCTTTGCACTGAGCTATATTCCAATGCCTTTTTGTTTTTTATTTTGAAACAGTATCTTCCTAATTCATTTTGGGCTCAAACTTGTGATCCTCCTGTCTCAGCCTCCCAGAGTGCTGGGTTTACAAGCATGTACTCCCATGCCCATCTGCATGCTTTCTCCTTTATTAGTAAGAGAGTCATGCTTAACTATATCACATTTACTTGAAAAATCCAATATTCGGGTATAATGATGATGCTGTATGACAGACTGACATCCTTAGTAGTTGTTTTGCCTTCTAACCAAATACATATATAGCTCATATTTTGATCACTTGCCTAAGAAGTGACACAGTGTGAGGTGACTCAGAATGTGACCTCTAAGGCCTAGCTCTTCTAATTACTTGCTTATGGATCCTTTGGTAAATTATCTCCCTTCTCCATGTTACTTACCTGCAAAATTGCATAATATGTACCTTATTGAATTACTGTGGGGATTAATGAGTTAATCTACAGACAAAGCCTAGAAGATCACCTGGCAGGTGGCGCTCAGTAATGTTAGCTCTGCCTTCTTACCTTCTCTCTCTGAATTGCCTTCATTTTTTGGAGCTCAGCTTCTTCAGCTTCCTTTTTGATTCTTATACATTCTTCTCTTTTTAGCTAAATTATATGGAGATTATAGAGGACAAAAAAGTTACCACTTTTGTCTGAAATTCTGGAATACAAAATTATGATGAAAGGCAAGTTATAGCATTGTTCATGCCATCCCTCAACAAGATTATAGGTTATTCCATCAAGCTACTTAGATCACAAAGAATGGCCAGGCTATATCCTTTGTCTGTTGAATTTCTGTGTCTTTTCTCTTCCTGTGTCTGTGTGTCCATCCCCCTCCACCTGGGTGTATGCGTGCGTCTCAATTTCTCTTTTTTTCTCTCCTTATCCGTGTTGGGGGGGATATGTGTGTGAATATGCACACACATGCCCGTGTGTGAGAGGAAAAGGGCAGTAACTTTTTCTGATTATAAAATTTATAATGTTCATTACAAAAATCATCAGGTACCTTAAATCTTTTTTGTATTATTTTCATGACTAGCATGATGTAAGCAAAGTCATATTCTTGGAATCAAAATGCTAGAAACAGAGTATTACTGAATTAATACATAAATACATTGTTAATTTAAACCAATGTGTGTGGGGGTGGGCAGGGAGGGAATTCCCTTAGTTGTAGGTGCTGATAAATACATGACTTGAGTAAGGATTCAAGTCCTTTCTTTCTTCACAGTTCCTGGCTTTAATTTTGAGAGCTGCTCCAATTGAGTTAAAGACCTTATGCTTTTGGTAAAGTTACTACGTTATTTCACAGTTACTTAAAAGTGCTAGTACTGAAAATCCTTGCTGAAATTAAAGTAAAAGAGATGGATTCTGACCTTTTGCTGGTATTTAGATTGCATCAGTTGGAGTTGTTGCTTCTGCCTGACTTCAGACTCTGACTGGCTTCCACCTAATGAAAAAACAAAAACCAAAAAAGCTGTGAAGGTAAAACATGAATATTAAGCTGAAACATCAGCCATCAAGTACTAGTTAATACATGAGAAGTCTACAACATAAGTTTAACATTTTCACACCTCTGGAAATAAGCACATAACCTATTATTTTCAATAAGACCTTAAAGAATGATAATTGCTTAAAAGAGAAACAGAACTAGACAAAAATGGACTGTATTTTTTTATTTTAAAGAGAATAAAGACAGAAAACAACAACATAGCCAAAAACAAAACAACACAAAAACAATAAAAGTAACACAGGATTTCAAAATAAAATGACAGGAATTAACAGTGGTTATTACATTACATATTGTTATCTTCAAAGAAGTTGCTCAGATTACCAGATGCAAATATTGATCAAACCATTAAAGAGAATTAAAAAATAATAATCATAAACCCTTAGAAATGATACAGAACTTCACTAAACAAGATGGTAGGAATTTACCAATGGTTGTTATATTGCATATTGTTGTCTTCAGATTAGTTGTTCAGATTACCAGATATATGCATGCAAAATTGGTCAAAAAAATTTAAGCATTTATTGTTCCTTTCAATAAACCAATACACATATATTATGCTCCTTCTTTCTTTCTTTTTCTCCTTCCTCTCAATTTCTTTCCCTTTCACAATACCTGTTGTACCTTTTGGATTTTCTTTACTCTTTCGGGTACTTACACTAGGAGGACAATATGATGTTTACCCATGTGGGTCTGATTTATTTCACTTATGAGTATGGTCCCTAGTTGCATCCATTTACCTATAAGCCTTGGAGTTTATACTTTGTTTTGGAAGTAATACTCCATTGTAAAAAATACTACATCTTTTTTATCCATACCTCAGTTGATGGGCATTTGAGCTGTTTCCAAAATTTAGCTATGACAAATTGTGCTGCTATAGACATGGGTGCACATATATCATTGTGGTATGATGTCTTTAATTCTTCTGGGAAAATACCCAGAAGGGGAATAGCTAGGTTAAGTGGGACCTCTAATCCTAGTTTTGTGAGGAATCCCCACATTGATTTCTACAGTGGTTTTACCAGCCTACACTCCCACCAGCAGTGGAGTAGGGTTTCTTTTTCCCCACAGCCCCTCCAGCATTTGTTATTGATTGATTCTTGGTGATAGCCATTCTCTCTGGGGTGAGATGGAATCTCAGTGTTGTTTTAATTAGCATTTCTTGGGTGACCAATGATGTTGTACATGTTTTCATATTTTTATTTGCCATTTGTATTTCTTCATCTCAGAAGTGTGTATTCATCTCAGATGCCCATTTTTGGATTAGGTCTTTGAATTTTGGAGGCCTGATTTTTCTAATTCTTTATATGTTCTAGATAGGAGTCCTTTGTCTGAGCGACAGTTAGATAACATTTTTTACCAATTCATGGGTTTTCTTTTTACCCTGTTTGTGATTTCTTTAGATGTGCAAAAACTTTTCAATAAGATGAGATCCCAGTTGTTGATTCTTTGATGTATTTCCTGTGCAGTTTGGTTTTTGTTCATGAAATCTCTGCCTATCCTTATGTCTTCAAGATTTTTACCTATTTTCTCTTCCAGTAGATTTAGTGTTTCTGTTTTAATATTTAGGTCTTTGATCCATTTTGACTTGAGTTTAGAGCATGGTGATAGACATCGGTTTATTTTTAGTCTTTGGCATGTGGAGAGCCAGTTTTTCCAGCACCATTTATTAAAGAGGATATCTTTCTTCCAGTGACCTTGTTTGGCCCCTTTGTCATTTGTGTTGACTCCTGCTATTTCCTTGACACCTATTAATCTTACATGATTTTTCTTCGCATCATCTTGCAGCTGTTGAATTTTTATTTCCTGGGTCCTTGTTATTTTTAAGAGATCCTTCCTTTCATGATCATTAATCGCAGGGCTGTCTCCAAGGTCTAAAAGTCTATCATCAGCTTAGTTCAAGCAGTTTTTCCAGCTTTTGATGGAATTTTTATTTCCTGGATATCTGTTTGAATCTGTTTCATGCATTCTAATTTTTTCCTATATTGTTTATTCAAGGTTTCCATCATTATTCTATGCTCCTCTCTTTTTTTATCTATATCTTGTTTAGATGAGCTGAGCAATTCTTTCATTATTGTTGTCATTTCTTTCTTTACCTGAGATATTATTTCTGATTTGATGTCTTGTATGGCCTGATGGAATTGTTTCTTTACTTCAGTTGCTATCATTTCAGAAATTTCAGGTGTGTGACTTCCAAGCTCTTCTATGTTAATGTCTCCTGAACTTGTTCTGGCTAGGGTGGAGGTCTGAGATTGCATTTTTCTCCTTCATTTTGTCATTTTTGAAGAGCCAGAGATTCCCTGGAGCTCAGCCTCACTCCCATGATGGTATGGGAGTGGCAGGACCAGGACCTGAAGCTCCCCCATGCTCGGTGTGGTTCCCGCAATGGGAGAGGGGTGGCAATGTGCAGTTCCCAATGCTCCTGAAGCTGTCTGGGGCTCAGCTCGGCTCCCACACCAGTGGTGGAGGGGTGGAGATGTGGTCAGTGAGGCTCCTGAAGCTGTCTGGGGCTCAGGTTGGCTCAAGGCTATATTTTTTTTTAAAGGACCCTATAAGGGTTTCCAATGAGTAGGATTAAAGTTTTCACTGAGACTGAAATCATAACTGAAGAGCTTTCAAGGGTGATGGGAAATACTGCCTGTCTTGAGATTCTAGAAGATTGTTCCAACCTTAGCATGACCATTCCTTAACCAATAAAGATAATCAAGGATGTCTCAATTGCTTTTCTTCCTCGGTTTCTATTGCCTTATGTTCAAATAGCAACACTCAAGAAACTGTCATTAAGTCTTGTTTCTAGCGAAGTATGTAGTTTTTATAACCAGATCCTACAAAGTACAATAGGAGTATTCTACCTACTGATTATAAATCCATAAAATTTGTTGTCCTCTAAGTATTCAAGGGGAAATCATGGATATAAGAGCATTTGCTTGTCTCTTAAACCAAAAAAATAATCCGGAGTCCAAAATCATCATAGGTTAACAATTGTGTAAGAATTGTCATTTCAGGCTAGAAATGTAGCTTAGTGATAGAGCACTTGTCTAGTGTATGTAAGGCCTCAGATTCAATCCTCAGCACCGCAAAAAAAAAGCCATTTAACAATTTTTCAGTGTTTCTGCAAGTTTGGTGTTTATATTAGAAAGATTTCTTTGAAATAATTCTCTAGTACTGTGACAGATTCACTGTAACAGAGTATATATTAAAACAATTTGTATTGGCTGTAGGTTTTATAATTGAACTGATAAAGACACTATAGAGGCTCTTCTTACAAGTTCCAAAAGATGCACAAGGCTCAAATAGGGCCCATCAGTCACTCTTGTGGAGGGCAGAAAAGAAACAGCAAACAATATTGAAGCTGTTATCTATTGTCCCAAGTACTTGCAGTATCACCTACAACTTTTCCATTATTTTAAGAGATAGAGAAATAGAGGAGGATTTGAAAGTGAAAAGAAATGGAGAAAGTCAAAAGTTTATTTGTTTTGTCCAAAATTCATCATTTTAATATATTCTAAAACTTTCTACTTACTAGCCCCTCCCCCCCCACACCTAGCCATTCCTAAATACTTCATATTTAGGTAAAAATGAGAATCTTGCCCATTTTCTACTTAGGCTGCATGACAATAAGTACCCACTGCTCCAAATTCAAAGTAAGGTGCCTGCACCCTAAAGGTGATCTGCAAGTATGCAACTAAAAACTGGCTTTCAGAATGTTCACTAGCAACTACCTTCAACCTGTAACAGGGGTTAGATAGTTAAAAGGGAGATAGAAACCTGAGGAAGAATGTCTTTTTGAGTTGCATTTCCTCGTGTGTTTGGGAAAGGAAAAAATCTCCACTTCAGGCTGAGCAAGAACAAAGATCATGTGATGATCTTAACCTGAATCCCTAAGAGTATGAAAAATGAATAGAAAAATCAGAGCTTAAAGGCAACAAAGCTGTTGTCAGTTGGCTGCTCAGATAGGTCCTCAGAAAGAGGTGACTGCATTGAAAGTGGCCCATGTTCCCAGAGTTTGTGGTAAGAAAAGATGCACCAGTACTGCTTACCTAGACTTATAAGAGAGAATGCCAATTTACAGCCATCTTAGAGGAACTCACTGCCATTAACTTTCTTGTTGCTGGGACAAAATACCTGACACAGTTAAAGAAGAAAAGGTTTATTTTGTCTCACAGTTTCTAGTAGAAGTTTCAGCCCATAGTTGGCTGGCTCCAAGCCAGGGCAGAGGAGAATCAGCTCATGGTGTGGCAATCAGGAAGCAAGTAGCCATCAAGGGAAGAGGAGGAATGAATATATACACCTTCCAGGCCATACCCACAGTGACTCACCTCTTCCCATAAGGCTTCGGCTCCCAACAACACAACCAGATATGAACGTTTAAATGGAGTAATTCAATATCACACACTTATGATCCAGTCACCTCCCAAAGCCCCACCTATGAGTGCATGAGGCTTTGGGGGGACATCTAGATATAAGCCATAACACTCACCTACAGGTACCGCTTATGGAACAGTAGGCCCCACACATTGTCTACCAAGAGCCAACAGTGGCCCAAGCACTGCCAGTAGAAGAGTCTATCATCTCTACCAGAGAAAGCAAGCAAGGGAAAGGTGGTAGGGAGGGAGGGACAGGAAGAGCTCAGGTAACACCAGGAGGGAATGTGAGCAGTCCCCACAGCACCACAGCATGTACCCAACACTACTGTCTCATCTCCCCTCACCCTGGAACTGGGAGGAGTCAAAATCTGGAAACAAAGGTCCAACCACATCTACCTAACTTGTCAGCTTCCTCCCTGAAACAGTGCTGCACTGGAGTAGGGGAGCCTTCGCCTCCCTTAGCAACAGTTTTGACCAGTACTTATATTTCGCTAGATCACTTTATTATTTGAGAAAAACCAAAAAAGTCTAATCTGTCACATCATTCAAAGAACATGGGAAAGACTGGTCCCACACACCTGGTGTGAGGGGCATGATCTGATTTCATCCCTCAAATCTGGTTTATTTGGTACAGAAGTAACACTTGAGCTTAACTACTTCTGAAATACAGTAGGAACTTGGTCCACAAATGCTTCTGTTCAGTTTGAGAACAGAAGAGTTCGCATAGTTTTGCTCCTGCTCACAAACTCCACACTGGGTGACAAACACGAATATGCTCAGCTTTCCCAGAATTATGGAACATACTATATATATTAAGTTTGTGAACCATGGTACCACAGTACTACAGTATTTCCATGATAATGCTATTACTTTCACTCAGCAAATGATTTCCAAATTAGCTCATTTTTACCTACATCCGGGTAGAGGAGTCTCTGAGACTTTCATGACAGTAAGTGGCTTCTGAATGACAAGATGTTTGTATTAACTACAAATGGAAACTGTGTCCAGCACTTTAAATTCTCAGCTGCTGATGGTAGAGAAAAGAGAAGGAAGGAGATGAAAGAGTCCCATTAGGTGGCATCCCCTCTGAACAATCCAACCACCACAGAGTTAACCCAGATAATTCATCACATTGGCAGCATCAGTCCTAGTGGCCCAACGGTCTCTATAGAGTAAAACCCAGGTGACGTTTGTCCTTATATCCACCAATGGGTCCCCAGCTCACTCTCATCTTGCTTTTGGAATTGACTCCCCTTCTATTTTCTTTACATTAGCATTTAACTACCATGATTAATATGCTGTGATAGCGCTCCCTCTCATCCTGACAGGTGCTATGACAGGGTATATACAGTGCCCCAGGTAAGCTTTCTTCAGAGATGATCATCTAAGAGGCTGTAAACTAGCAACAGCGAACGTTTTAGAGCTGTCAATGATACAAACAGCCCACTGCAGTATGTACCATAGTAGCATACCACTGCTGCTCTAAATTATTTGACAAGTAAGCCATCACATTATCCCCACATAACTGTGTCTTCACACATTTTCTACTTGTAGGAAACAAGAGATGACCATATACCTGCGCACTTAAATGTTTCCAGGTTAAATGCATTCTATCCCAAGTAGCACAACCACTGACCACCTCTAATATATAAAGTCAGACATGTGCAGGTGCCTGTAGGATCTGAGGGTGGTCTTGCCTTTCTCATTCAGGAAACTGGTTTACTGCTTACCCAGCTGTCTTGGCAAAAGATAAACTGATTTAGCTCTATTCTGCTCCTTCCACTTCTCCAGGCTGGCCAGCTCTTGCTCAGCAACTAAACAGGAGAAAAACATCAAATCAAGTATTAGAATTTGGAAAGAAAATAGGTCACTTTAAAGCATAAAAGAAATCATCAGAGGGCAATTAACTACATGCTAGCATAAGCAGACAAGATGTCCAGGAAATTCAGATGCTATACCTTCCAGCTTTAACCTTGTGAAATCACCCTGTGCTACTCCAAGTGTCTGCACGGAGGGTTCAAAGTTGAAAAAAAAAAAAACCTGAACTGCTAATAAAAAACAAGGGAGTACAGTTTTTCCTCCCACTGAGGCATCCTTAAAACTCTACATCAAGTTAATTTAAAGATTTCCTATAGAAAATGTGTGCAAAACTACAATGTTCCTATCAATAGGAATACACACATGGAATCATGTATTTCCTGAGAATTCTGATGCTCATACTGACTATTTTAAATGTTCCCCAACTTCACCTCAACTACAAGGAATGAGGGCTCTGCACTGTGGGTGGGCACCCCTGCTCTGGTTTCTGGCTTTTGGGACTAGTAGGCAGAGCCTGCCAAGAAGCAGGGCTCACTGCCCAGATGGTAACTCTTCACAACAACAGGGTCACCAAGGAGATACTATCTCTGTTACCCAGAACATGGGGTCATCTCCAGGTTAGACCTGATTGTTCCAAATGTCTGCTCATAAAATATTTTAATTATGAAGGAAGGGGGATTCTGAAATATCTCAAAACCCAGACCACACAAACTCCTGGTATTTAAATCACAAGCTGGTAAGACGTCAGAACCTTTGGCATCTATTGGTCAACTACCTGCAGTTGCCATAATCACTGCAGAGGTATGACTGTCATATTCCTAACTGATCCACTCTCCCAGCAAGGGGGCTACCTATCTGGTGCTACCACACTTTAGATGGTTGCTTTGCTGTAAAGCCCATAGGTTTATCACTAGCTACAAAAGGAAATTTGCTGCTAATGATGCAGTAAGATAGAGCATAGGATTTTAGTACCACCACTGCAGCTTGACCTGACGAAAACTCTCAACTCCCCTTGTGAACTAAATGAACCTTAGCTCTCTCCGCAACTCTAAACTATAACGCTATAACTTTAGACGGCAGCATTTATATTTACTGTACTTCATTTAAACATGTTAGACACACACTAAGTACAAAGAGTACAAAAAAGACTAAAATGTGGTCCCTGCCCTGAAGGAGTTTATAATCTAGAGAAGAAAACTGAATTACGCACATAAAAACAGCAAAGGATCAACTGACAGTTTCAAAATCATGACAACTCAGATGCTATGGAAAAACTCCATTGAGGAGAGATGAATAAAACCAAGAAAGGTGTAAATTAGTTCATGATCTATTTTGTATAACATTTGTCTGTTTCAAAAGAATTCAGAGTGCTTTTAAAATATCACCAGTCAGCCAAATGCAGAGGGATGAGATGAGTCTATGGGCAATAAGTGTAAAGTTGTTTTAATCCAACAAAAATCCCAGACTTACAATTATGCCATGAGTTCTGTTACTAATGTGGAGAAACAAATTTATAAAGTGTTAACAACAGAATAATTTTTATCATTTTAGTTTATTATTACATGTATAATACAAAATATTTGCACTCCTTGTAAGAAGCTGGCCTGTCTACATAATACATCCTATTGCTTTTTCCATCCCCTTTCCCCTCTCTATCTTCCCTCTCCAACCATCTCTAGATCCCTCTGCTTTTTTGTACATTTGGAGTAAATAATGTTTATATTTCTTGTGCAGAGTTGGTACATGTGCATAACACACCCCAATTCCTTTTTTTATCCCTTATCCTTTCCCTCCCTTTGTCTCTTGATACTCTTCTCCTTTGAGTACAATCTATCTCCCTACTTCCTACAATAAAGTATAATAATAACTACTGAAGTTTAAAGAGACAAGACCTTGGTGAGATCTGATAAATTTATATCAACCAGTAATGAAAATACTTCAGGCTTAAATACATCAAATTTAAAGAAAATGAGAAGCATTCTGAATGTAAAGTAAGCAAATATACATACTCCTTTGTATCTGATGTCTCCGAGTTTCATTTGGTGCTATCAAGGTATATGCACGTGTGCTAGAACGAAGAGAAAAATTCATTATTACCTGAGAAATTACTAATGTACATAAGTCAACAGTTTTCTTTCTAAAATATTATACGATTAGCGCCATCAAATAGGTACCATATAAGATAATCTTCTTAAGATCCAGTTCTGTTCTTTAAGACCTTCCAGTCTAGCTGTCAATGTAAGACAAAGCGACATGATCAAATATAAAGCTTTGGGTGAAGTGACAAGCTCTTGATAGAACTGCTTCTTCACTGGTCCTGGGTCGAATGTCCTTGTAGGACTCCATTGCACCTCTAGGTGGCTCTTGTGGGTAAATTCCTTTAAAATTGCCTTTCTTTTCCCTGCAATCCACACTGGGAAAACAGGAAACACTGGTGTATTCTTGATTCCCACAAACTGAAATATAGGCCATTTGCATTGCAGCTACAATACTTCCTCATGATGACCCATTTGAGTGTCCAATTGGCCATAATCTTATAATTTTTATAAACGGGTCCAATGAGTTCCTCATTCTCCCAAAGATTCTACTGGTTGAGCATAATCAGAAGTTCAGACAAGTAAGGGGGTCCTTCAAACAAAAGGCACAGGAAAAAGGTCATTTAAGTGATATATTCAGCACTAAGGCACCATGAAGCCATTAAAATATTGTAAGATTTTGAGGACAGAAATTGTGCTTCCCTACTGTGCACTACAGGTCTGTGGCCCAGTGCCTGGCACAAAGCAGCAATGTGATGAGATGTGGGCTGAACAGAAATAAAATTATGCCATGGATCCATCAATGAGTTTGGATGGGAGCAGCTCTTCTTCATTTGTTTTGTTTTGTTTTGTTTTTTGTCTTTTTGAGACAGGGTCTCACTATGCAGTTCAGGCTGGCCTCAAAATCACAGCAATCCTCCTGCCTCAGCCTCCCAAGTGCTGGGATTATAGGTATATGCTACCATGCCCAGTGGGAGAAGCTCTTCTTTGAGCTAATGCATCTGGTCCCACAAGAGCATGAATACTTTCTAAAGCAAAACTATAGCACAGCACAGACGAGAGCATACATATAAGTGCAGTTTTAGGGAAAATGCTGTGAATAAACACAACCAACTTATAATGGTAGGATTTTGTTTTAAAGAAAAAATAAAGAACAGATACCCAGAAATCTCTCCAACCTGTAATGTACAAATTTCAAAGGCAGGTTTACCAATACTGAACAGTACAGGCCAAAAGTGTTGATTAACAGAAGCTATTTCTTCCCTAGCTCATTACTTTCCAAGGAGCTAGCCTTCAGCCAGCTTCAGACTGAGCTTCAATTTTAGACTTGTAAATGTGAGGTGTCAGCCACCTATGCATGCAAATGGGGTTTCTGGATGCCCAATTACCTCATGTATATCAGCAGACCTTGCAAGTGTAGCCTAGCATGCATACAACTTTATGAATACAAAATTAGGATACTGACACTGTAAATTAATCCCTTATTCATTACATATTCTATGTTCACCATAAGAATGTTTGCTTCTCAATTCCCAGTAATGTTAGGAGTTTGGGGGCTGCAATTCCGTGGTGACCCTATTGCAGAATCTGGAAACTTGAATATTATGCAATGGTGAGCCATTCTACAGAGCTGTAAAGCTGAAACATGAGAAACTGCATGTAAGTGCCATCCATAAAAGTGCTGCTTGATCCTTAGCATGTGCTGGGCCTGTGGCATAGAGCTTCTCACTCACTGTAACAGGGATTCGTCTATCATCCAGATCAGCAGTGCTTCATCCTTATCAGGCATCACTAGGAGGGCAGACTTGTTAAAGGACAAAAGTTTCTGTTTCAGTAGCTCTGAGCTGAAGTTCAGTGACATGCATTTTTAGCAAGTTCCCAAGTGATGCCAATATTCTTGATCTGGTACCACACTTGAAGAATCACTGCTGTTAATCAGTCATGCTGCCTGCTGTAGTTCAAGTATGGTTTGTCATCACCACAACTCATGCAGTGGCTTGGTTCCTAGTGTAATAGTGTTGAGAAATGGGTGGGCTTTCAAGAGGCATTGTGGGCCATGGAGGCACAACACTCAGAAGGAACAAATGCCCACGTTACAGAACTGGACTTGTTGAGTGTGTTATAAAGCGGAGCCTACACATGCTTGGTCTTTTGCACATGTCCATTTCCCTTTCTACATCTGCACTGCATTATGATACAACCAGGGGGCCCGTTTGAACTTTCCTGCCGCTAGAATCATGAGCCAATAAAAACACTTCTTTTTAAAAAGCATTGCCCAGAATCACATATTCTATTATAGCAACACAAAGGCACACTATCTTAGGACCTGTTGGCTAAAAGGGAACTTAGGGATTAATCTTTAATAAAGACACAGGTTAAACATTGTACCAAACATCACTAGGCTGATTAAGCAAAATGGCTGAGACTCAAACCTAAGACTTTTGACATAGACCAGTTAACTGCCTACAGCTATTTGACTCAATATAGAAAGTATAAAATATGACTGTCCCTTGATTTCAGTTCCTTGATAGACTTCTAAACAATGCAATAACTTAACTCAGCACCTACTATGGACTTATTATGTTAAGGGCTTATGGGACATGAGGGAAGATACCAAAATATAGATACCAACCATCTTGACAAAACTCATACTGCATTAAAGAACAACTCAAGGAAGCACCACCAGAGAACAGCACAAGGAGATCAAAACAAGTGTAAGGTAGGATGATGGAAGCAGTAAGAGATGACAGCAGAGGAGATTCAAGGAGCCCCCGCCAAAAGCAGAAAGCTTCAGGAAGAATAGTAAGTTAAGGCTTAAAAGATAGATTGTAAAATGGCAGAAGTTTGTTGTTTTTGTTTTGTTTTGTTTTTTGCCAAGAGTTTTTTTTTTTAAAGTGCTTTGCCAAGAATTTTCCAAGCCCATAAGTCTGCTTATGAAAATTCTGTGAAGGTTGGAGGAATAAAACAACTTGTTTATAAAAGATTCTACAGACTACAACACCTAATCTAATTCATTTTAAGACTAACAACATTACACTACTAGAATCTGTCACTGACAGATGACATGAGATTCCTAGGTCAAAGACAAAGGACGTTATTACTCATAGCACAGCAAGTAGCATGAGTGTCAGCTTATTTACATTTGTTCTCTCTGGTTCCAATTCTTATGCAGCCAGACTTAGGAAGAAGACTGCACACAATCTCTGGCCACTGTGTGTGAGCAATAGGCAACAAATGCAGTACAGAGATGGGAAAGAAAATGAAAAGACTGTTTTAGTTACTTTTCTCCACACTCAAAGTTAAAGGAGAGAAGTTTACTTTGTGTCACAGCTTGCAGAGGTTCAAGTTTGTAACTGACTAGATCCAAAGCAGAGTTGCATGGCAGAGGGGCATGGTGGAGGAGAGACAGGTCATGGCAGGCAGAAGGCAGCAAAAGCAGCAAGCAAAAGGTAGTGAATCTGCAAGGCACAATCAGGGACATCAGTAACCTCTTTCTATCCTTTATATTCTATCCATGCTACCCACCATAGCACTCATACCAAGGGTGGGGCAGCCTTAATCCTAGCATTACAACATGAATCAATCCCAACATTACATTTTTAATCCCAGCATCACACACTCTCTATCCAGCTACCTCCAAAAATCTCCACCTATGACTGCATGAGGCTTTGGGGGGACACGTACATATGAGTCATAACAAAGACTTAACTAGCCTTGAAATTAAAGGTTTTACATCAAAACCATTTTAGTATAACCCTAGCAGTGGTCCTAATAAAACTTGTTTTACATTAGAAAGTTCCTAGGTAACTCTCTCAGCCATATTTTATTGGCTAAAAATGTCAGATCTAAACCATTTTATAATATCCACAAGGAGACATTGCCAAATAATTCAGCTTTTATTCTTCTTACTTATAATAGGAAAAGCAGCCTAAGTCTAAAGTTAGGCTTTTTATTTTTAATATCATGTGGCAGAGAATAATGCCTTCATAGGTAAAAATATCCATCCTTTCTCTCTGAGCTGTTTCTTGACATGAATAGAAGGTATAATTTGTTAATGTTTTCAGCCAATTAGTTTCTACCCACAACAAAAGCCTTTGTCATTTTAACCTCCATGGCTTTCCTTTCAACAAGCTGGCTCCAAAGCTGCTGATATGGACAGGTGTAAGCTAACTAGATTTAGCATTCTGGTCATTTGCTGATTAAGCAACAGTCAAGCTACTGAAACAAATATATATTTTTGAAAATGAGTTTCCTTAATTATCTCATTGAAATTTAATGAAATATCTCAATTGGTAAGATTGTTATCACTTCTGAACAGCACACTTCTGTGAGACAAACTAAAGGAGACCACAGAAAAGAACACCCCACAACAAAGAAAAATGTTTTTCTGTACCATAAAAAATTAAAAATATAATATGCCAGACACAGTTCCCCATGACAGGTCTCTGATTTACACAAGTGCATTTCACAGTTACTTTCTTGCACAAGTTTATAACATCTCATTAGGTACCGGAGAAAAACCAAAAAAAAAAAAAACAAAAAAAAAAAAAAAAAAAAACCACACCCTTGTATCCTGGGACAATAATGGGATATATATGAACAGAGAATCATTTGGTCAACAGCCTTTTGAAAATAGTTGCAGACACTCCCTTCCTCCCTACTGAGAGGGGTGTGTACATGTTTAAAACTCTGGGATGGTTGTGATTCACATTCACTT